AATTGTGAATTTTTAATCAAGTATTCTTAAAAAGAAGCAACAGCAGATTTCACGGTTGCCTTATTTGAATTACATAATGCTTTCTAAAAAATTCAGTTGTATTCAATTACATTTAATTTCAATATTTGATTCTTTTATTAGTATATTTACTGCTCAGTTTCTGGTTATTTTAGAACATTCTCATTTTTGGCACTATATTTAAAAACATATACACAAAATACCGTATTATGTATATAATGTTTTTTAGTTCTGCCTCAGCGGTCCCTGAAATAATTTTCCTATTTTTGCCAGTCCCCAACTGTAAAAAGGTTGAAAACCACTGCTCTAGCTGCCATACCAGGGACTTTGTAGCTCAAGCCTCTCTCCACACTTATGATGAGGAGCTATTTTGGCTTGTTGTGGTCTTTCCTGTTTCCTTCCTCCCCTCATCCTGAGATTTTTTTTTTTTTTTTTGCAATTTCTGTTTTGACAGCTGCTCCAAGTTGCCCAAGCAGCACATTGGAGGGGCTGTAAGTGGCTTACTACAATTGGTTGCTTGCTTGTGGCATCCCAAATATGCACAGTTTCCTTAAAACATTTTATAAACCCTGGACATGCCATTTCAGAGGTGCCATTGCATTTCTGCAGGTGCAAAAATGGGAAGCCTTACCTGGGCAATTTCTTGGGGGGAGGGTGGTATATGCTGTCAAAGTGTAGCAGCTGCCAATCATTGACATTGATCCAGAGAGGTTCCCAATAGGTTTGTTTTGCTTTTATACTTGACAGTTGTCAATTCAAAGCAAGGAAGTGAGTTGATTTATTCCCCCCGCCCCCGCACCTTGGCACTTGGATTCTTCTTTGTGGTCTCTGTGCATCACACATAATGGGTACTGCGCCTGCGCAGTGCCTGTTGTTGGCCAGAATACTCAAGCTACAACGGTTTTTGGTGGGAACTCCGCACCCCTCCCCCCCGGTGCTATATAGGGCGGAGCGCCCGCCATTTTCTTCAGTCTTCTTTCGACCGCCAATCGCATTGCCTTGAGCCATTACTCTGTCTCCTCATACTTAATTGTTGTTCTCTTAAAAATTTTCCAGTTGAATCTATCCAAGTTATCTTCCCTTCTATCCCAGTTAATTCTCTTTCCTCTTTACACCTTCCTTTAAAAAAAAAAAAAAAGTTTAATATCTCGTTTTTTCTTACCTTTACTATCCCTCTTCTTATCTTCTCGATGGCTCAGCACACGGCTTTTCGAAAGTGTTCGAAGTACGGGGCCAAAATGTCCCCAGCGGACCCACATCAGCTCTGCCTCCTCTGCTTGGGAGAGGGGCATCGCACCGATAAATGTGGGCACTGCCAGGCCTTCACTAAACAGGCCAGGAAAAACCGAGAGAACAGGCTGAGAAAGATCCTTTGGGATCAGGCCTTAATAGCCTCCGATGAGCTCACCGCCCAGCCTATGTCGGCCGGCCCTTCTATGGTGACCTCCCCTCGCCCACTGTCCGGGGCAGTTGCTTCTGAGGAGACCTCTTGCTCCTCCCACTCCTCGCTCAAACAAAAGGAGAAGCAGAAGCATTCTGACCATGGGGATCCGTCAGTCCCGAAGAAGGCCAAAAAAGATAAGTCGGGCAAGGCTAGCTGGAAGCATAAGCTTGCTCCGGAATTACGGAGAGATTCAAATTCGACTGCCTCATTGGTCCAGACAGCAGCATCGAT